ACAATTCCTATTTGCAAAATAATAATTTTTTAATGCTCTATGGGCTTTGTTTCATTTATTATTATTTTTATAATTTTTTCCTCATATTATTCATACATGTATGTATTTGTGTATGTATATGTGTGTACATATATTTTTTTGTTTGCAGTTCAACGCCCACAATTAGTTCCACTTAAATAAATCAAAAGAAATTTTTGTAAACATTTGCCCACACAGTGGCTGGCACACATACACGTACACTCACTCACACACACACACACAGTTGTATTTGATATGAAATTGCTGTTGTTGTTTTTTGCAAAAAACCACAATTGTTTTTGCTTTATTCGAGTGTACGTTTTTAATGAATAATGCATTCATATTTACCGAGATGTACAAATTGCATGCGGCCGAGTATTAAAAATTAAAGTAGCTTCAAGTTAAACGCAGTGGGAAAAACATCAGTTGAACAAGCTCTGCAAATTGTTATGTTTAAAGTGACAGAAAATGAAGCTTGAAATGTTTTAGATTATAAATAACATTTCATGCATACATATAAAGTTTTGTGTTACATAATACAATATATGAATGTATGTTGAAAGGTGATTTTAATTGACAATAAATGTAAGCATGCATAAGCTCACTTTGGGTAACTGTGAGGCAGCAATATGATATGATAGAAGCATGAACCATTTTCTAGTATTGTCAAAGAGAACAATGTTTGAGAGTGTGAGAGTGGATCGAATGTATATGACTAGACTATTGTGTAAAATTAATTTAGTATTCCGATTGGGTATGCACCAACCTATCAGTTGGAAGTATAGATTAATTTCAATTTAAACTAAACACAGATGTATACATACATATATGAAATACTTATATCTACTTCAATTTAGACTCAACATTGAAAATTTCAATTTATCTATTACAATTTATCAACATCCTCAAATTTCGATCCCCTAAATTACTTATAAAGCTTTATAACAGCCTCTCCTTATTTATTATAATATTAAGTAAACACCATAACATCTATTTTTATCACATATATTCCACAGGCTTTTCCGCAATATATACATATATATATATATATATATATTAATACATATATATGTATTTATTTGTGCCATTTTCTAGCTGTTTGTTAATCATGGTTGTTTTTTTTTCTCATTTACTGGCTTTGCTTTCGTTTTAATCATATCCTTGGAGATGAAGATGCGAGCGCTTCACACGCGTTGGCGCCATCAGCTTTTGTCTTTATGAGCACCCAAAATCCAATTAACACATGCTGCCATATTTCCGGGCTAATCCTTCCCAGAGGCGGCTGCGCAAATTACAATTTAAAAAATAATTACGAAAATGTCTGCAATGAAAATTCGCTCGCAGGCATCGCAGACGCTGCTCCCATTTCGCTGCAATTTCTGAAAAGGCGCTAAATGTTAATGAACATTATAAAAACAATTGCAAGTAATTATAATTTGAATGATAATAGCGAAACTTCTTAATCCCCGCAACGGTAATTTTTATGCCACACTTCTCGCTCCCTCTCTCTCTCTCTCTCTCGCTCTCTTTCTATCTCTCTCTTTCTGATTCACCCACATCTTTTGGTCTCCTTCACGCTTACAGCGGAGACAATTCACAAAGGCTTTGGCGACGTTTCGCACAAAACGTGAAAATGCATAATAAAGGGGGCGTGCCACTGGAACTGGCACATCAAATGACAAAGCGAGAGTGGGAGAGAGAGTGAAACAGAGAGAGAGAGAGAGAGAGGGAGACCGTAGAGAAATGAGTTCCTTGTAATTAAATTCTTTTTAATGAAACCTCAAAACAAACACAAAAGCTTTCTGCAAAAGAAAATCTGGAAAAATAAGTCGCAACAATAACGCGAAAAAAACCAATAGCATAAATGAATGGAAATGTGTTTGAGGCGCAGCTGACAAAGGCCGCAATAATAAACAAAAGAGTTGAAATGCAGATTAAAACAAAAACTTAACAGTTGGATTTGCGTATATTAAACAGAGAATCAGGAAAGTGTGAAAATTCGCCCCATTATTTGCTATTATAATTAATGAAAATGGAGGCTTTAGTTTCGAATGGCCAAACAATAAACATATG